CAAAATGAAGCATGTGATGCCGGTTTGACGGGATTTTAATGAAGGGCCAAGTGTATCTACAAGACATGTTACGATATAGTGGATAATAAAATTGATTCATAACAATTTAATAAGAAATTGAATCAACGCATCATTCATTTTGTCTATTCTCTTAGTTAGATTCAGAAATCCTATTCTTATTCATAAGTCCATAGACCAGTTATTTATAACAATCTTTTTAATAAATTATTTAACCTGAACACTCCAACTATTATTTAATGAAGTTTTTCTCTTTATTGCTGACATCATGATATATAGATTCCGAGTTGTCTTTAAAAAACATAATTATGAGGTAAACCTATCTTATGCTTGCTCATAAAAGTATGAGAATCCTTCTTGATGTTAATTTTATTGGTTTTAGTTGATTTGTTAAATTATACAAGTCAGACTGTGCTTTTTCCATAATAATCATGAGAAAAGAACAGCAAGGCATACGTGAATGTCTGATGTATTTTAGGAAGACCTTATAACTTGACTAAGCTCTTCTACCATTAAAAACCATCTTAACCTAACATAAGTACAAGTAAATGATCGTTAGTCAAAAATGATTTATGTAATAAAAAGTCCACCTTTATCTCGCAACGCACCATCCTATCTGGATGAGAATCCAATATTTACTTGTTTTTTTCCATGCCGATTCAATATTTACAACCAATTTCTCATCCCCTCGAGTGTTTAGACCATTGCTCTAACCTCGCTTAAACTAGTTAAGATATCAGCATGACTTTCCCAAAATTCGGCTTTGTGAATGTTGTAAGCTTAATCTATCGGTTTAATACTATTTGCGTTATTTGAGTTAGTCACTAATATCGTTATCGTTTTTTACTTTTGCTCGGGCTCAAACATGTTGCATCAGCTTATACAGTAACTACTTGCTAAACCATCAGGAGACGTTTGCTATTTTCAAAGCACTGGTATTATATACAATAATCATTTTCAAAATCTACCTTTCTCATAAAGGATATGCATGGGCTGGTCTAATAATGGTATGATTACTAAGTATTTATCTAACGTCAGTGCTTTACTGAAACGTACTTATTAACATTCTAATAAAGTTTGATGGAGCATGTGGATGGGGACTATTTCAATCGTAATTTGTGATAAATTCTTGTATTTCTGTAAGGTGTATCCACTCTATTCAACTACAAGTCCGGCATGATCTTAAACAAAATAGGGCGAATTCATCTCATATAGATAATCTACCGGTACTCTCGAAAACCTACTTATAAACGAAAAATAATTTCTTGCACAGTGATGCTCCCATCATGAATTCTGGGAAAAGAGAGCGAAAAGGTCTTATACTGGTTACCACCGTTTACATTCCACATGAATACCATAGACTAAGGAGGAAGGTGACTGCTTACATTCACTTATTTTGGGACGGAAAGTGGTTCTTTTGATTATTCCATTTTATTATCTTTGATTTCTCCACATTAACGTTTTTAACTTGACCCTAAACACGACATAATTCGAGAACTACACCAGCAAGGCTTTGGAGGTGAAGGCATCGGCGCATCAAATTCACTCGAAGATCAGGATGTTGCGGGACAAGATCAGGCGATAAAACCTTTGAAGGAAGAAGGTGGTGAGGAGGTGGAGGGAGTCGTGGCCGACGAAGCAGAACCAGATGTGGAGGAAGGTCTGGAAGCTGCAGATAAGAGGGATGACGAAGAAGGAATGGTAAGCAATGGCAAAATAGTTATCGATATTTATTTAATCCTATATTACTTTAATTCTTATGTCGACTCTTGTTTCTCGCTGATTTATTTAAATTCACTTGTGTATCTTACCCCTAACAGATTTGAATAACCAAATCTACCCTTTCATAGTAGTTAACTATAAGATCTCATTTATCGACCAGACAGCTTGCCTGATGTACAACGCCTTTTACTTTTATGCACATACCACACACACACAATTAAAACTTCATAAAACTGGATAATCATGATAATATTGCCTTCTCACCACAGCAGATATGCCTTAGCCTTATTTTTTTCACGCACACTAGCATAACACGATAGTTTGAAGTTAAATTTTAATCCCATTTTGCTATTGCTCCACAGCCTTTAAAATGCTTCTCGGTATTATTTGATCTTATTCATTTAGAAGAAGAATTTGGAATGAAATTCACAAAGGCTAATATTATTTTAATGGGTTCTAGACATATTCGTGTATCTTTTTTTGACTATGAAAATCAAAATTGGGTGACATCTTTGCTTAAAGTTGTCCTATCAGGACAATGGAAATTCGTTAAAGTAATTTGTACTTCTTTATTAATATCGGTAACAGTGATGACACATTATTAGCTTGCCTTGTTTTCAATAAGTTAATGATCTCACTTAAGTATTCTCTTGTTTCATGAACCACAAATGATATTTTTCTTGCTTCAGGCTTGACGAATATTATTGTCAAGCAATTAGGTTTGCATATCTTCATTATTAAACCTAGTTTAAGTATTTACTATCA